AACTTTGTATATAAAACAGCCAGATTTCTTCTGGAAGCAAGAACTGTGGTGCAGTGTTGGAGTTCTGTGATGTCTCATGGAAGAATCATCCCTGCAGAGAGCACAGGGAAAAGAACAAGCATGCCAAGGAATAATTAATCAGGAGTGTCTGTGCTGTGGTGTTTATGATCAGCTGAGATATTATTGAGACAAAAAAAGCAAACCAATTTTCCTTCTTTCCACTATTATCACCTTTACCTTTATCTCCTCTAAGCTCTGTTTTACTTTTTTTATCACTCATGTTGAACACTGGTAAGCTTCTTCTTCAGCCAACCTCAGGCACTCATTTTCAGGAAATTAACTTGGCATTGCAACAGCTCTTAACATCTGTGACTCTTGACTTGCAGATAGTTGAATAAAGGAGCTAGGCAGAGCCTTAATTTATTGCCAATATATTTCTGATTTTTTTTTTTCAACTAGGACTTAACAGTTTGATTTTTCCTTAATTATATACAGACTATTTTGGGTATGAAAATAGCATGAAGGATATAATGTGTTTTGTACTACAACATCTTTCAAACAGGCCAAAGCAGAATATCCTAATGTTTCCAGAAAAAAAAAAAATTTGTCCCTGCTGGTATAAAGCTATTTTGTTTCCCTTTTAGACTGGCACTGGTAAAGCTCTTGCTGTGAAATTTGAAGTGGATGTAAGTTTCTAGGAATATTTGCTGCAGAACAGATGTGCTCTTCTTTACCCTCCTAGTGCCAGTTCAGCCTGAAATTCACCTGTGTTTACATCAGAGTAAAACAAAGTACCCCTGGGAGCAAAGCTACCAACCAAGCATCTTCTTACAGAATAGTGATACTGTGATGAAAACACTTTTGTTGCCAAGGAAGAAGTAAGGAATACAATAAAGAGCATAATGTAACCCCATGGTCTACAGATGAAAAAATGGCAGGCACACAGAATCACTGCATTCATCTGGATCTGCACCTAATTTTCCATTCCTAATGTAATGTTATATTGATATTTCATTTCCTTTCCGCATATTATTCCTAGTCATCCCTTTTTCTTCGTGGTCTTTCTTAATTTCATTTGCAATATGTCAAAGCCTTTTAACATGGAAGGATCCTTCTGCATTATAAACTGCCTCTGTTTTTTTGTTTGTTTTACATAATTTTAATGTTATTTCCACTCTTTTCAATCTTCCTCCTCTTATCACAATTTTCCAACTTACCTTGAAAAGCCAATACTGCAATTGCTTTATAATAGTTGAGAATTTTTTGCACTGAGTTGCATCTACCTTGCTTAGCAGTCATAAATAGACACAAACTGATTTTAGTTTTAGATTCCTAATTTCAGATGTTCTTCTTTTTGCTAATGAACTGAAAACAACACACCCTTTAGACCTGATAATTTTGAATTTTTGTATCTGGATCAGCATGTGGAAGATGAATTCCATTCCAGCTTTTCCGCTCAAATTCCCGCCTCTTACCTGATAGTGCCATATTTTCTTCCCCTTTTTAACTATTTTTTTTTTTTTGGATCATAATTAATAAGCATGGTAGCTGCACTTCTACTTGGAATATTAATTTATCAGAACACAAACCAAAATGGATACTTGGGAGGTAATAGTGTATATGAGTTTTAAAATTATCATATACTAAAATTGCTAAGCAACTCTCTTAAGAGTGACTGTTTGGGAAGTTCAGAACTGAAGGTTAAATTGCAGTCTGATTTTTCAAATGTGAAAGCAATGGCAGCTCCCAGCAGATTTAAGTAAATATTTAAGTAGATTTAAGAACATATTTAGGTTTATAGAGTTCAAATTTTCAGTCCAAATCTGCAAAGTCTAAAAAGAAAGATCCTATGCTAGTGATAAGCATTTAAAAGTTCAATGCTAAAGCAGTATTGAACTGGCACACTCTGGTGTTCCTGAAATTTAATAGATCATTATTAGGTATTTTACTTGTAAATCCTCCACATCTGTCTCTCTAATTAGGTCAACAGTACCCATTTTAAAACTTCCCACTTATGAGTTTGTGGAAATTGACAAATACCCAGTGTTTGGAAAATTTCAGATGTAAGACTTCTTTCACTCCTTTTTCAAATAATTTATATTCTAGGTCTTCTGCACTGCTGCTGATGTGAGGGACCTCCAGGGAGCTCTGCAGTCCTTGGTTTGCTTTGTTTTGATGCTGTGGGGAAAGAACCTTCAGCTTTGGTTTAGGCTTTTGGTGTGCACTGTCCTTTTCCATAACCAGAAGCAGAGAGATACTGGCATTTTGGCATTTTCACCCTTTTTGCTTTCTTTGTGGATAAAGTTGGAAATGTATTTAATTCATCACCTAAAAAAAAAAATCATTTTTTCTCTTTTTTAACATATTATCTGGTAATAAATATTTATTCTCTGCAATCATTGCCAGTCCTATAGAGATCAGCTTAGTATAAAACCCAAGGTAGAAAAGACTGTGTGTTTATGAGGCAGCTGACTAGGGATTTAGAATTTTCCCTTTTCAGCTTATAGAAAATCGTGTAACCTGTGTGGGCCATCCTTTTAGGTCAATCTCATGCAGACTATTTTCTCTTTTTCTATATCAATCCTAAATTAATACAGTAGGTGCTCTGCAGCCAGCATGGTTTTGCATTGATCTTGGCCAGCTTGTTTACAGTGTTTTGGCAAGTTGCTGATGTACTTCTCCCTGGGGATAGAGCAGGGGTTAATTGCTGTTAAACTCTCAGTGCCAAGTAATGGTTCAGACTCTGTGCTACATTAAAGATGACACTAATAAGGAAAGAGTGCACTGGATTGCTCTGTGTTGAAAATTGGACTTGTGGTGACAGAAACTTGGAGCAGAGCTGATGTAATAGGGAGGCCATAATGTAATTATAACTGTTGAACATGTGTCATACCAAGTTAAATGATACATTAATGAATCAAAACAGGTGATGGAGTGTTGCTCTTTCAGCTGATAGAGGTGTTTTCAAGGTCAAATTGTCATTAATCTAATAATCTGTAAACTGTATATGTTTCGAATTATAAGCAAAATCATTTTTAATGGGTTTTTTAGTGTATTACTTGTCCTGGGCCAAAGGGATGACAAAACCAGAAGATGCTGTTCTCAGTATAATTTTGTTTATCCCTCCGTTACTATATTTCTGTTATACCTAATACAATATCTGTGTACCTAACATTTTTCAGTCAGGTGTGAGCTTTGGATCCCTGGGCTCTGAGGAGGCAGCACCCAAGCCAAAAGGTGTGTAGACACATGAGTACAGCATGGAGACAAAGTAATAATCATTGCTGAGAGACTGAATACATTGAGTGAGTGGCTTCAGGTCAGCCTGAGCCATGCACAAAACCAGCTCACTCCTGCTCAGAGCAGAAGTAAGTGTGTGGTGGTACCGTGAGTTATGTTTTTTTGTAAATTCTCTCTGCCTATTATGATTCTGCAGCAAATGAAAACCATCTCTCACCTCAGCTGATTCCTGGTTCAAGTCCTCCTGTTCATGGATGAAGTTCCTGCTCTTTGATTCTGGTAGGACCACTGTGTTCAGAAGGTAAACAAAAGCTTCTGTTCCAGATTGTGTGGTAATCCAGAACAGAACTATACAAATGGTACTTGGCTGCTTGAACATGACAGTATCTATCTCCACAGCAAGTCCTGAGTGCTTAAAGAAACCTATCACCACTTTTTTTTTTTGGTAGTTTTATTAATGAATCCCACAACATTTTTACAAGTAGCCTTGGTTGAGAAGTTAAAATGAGATCCTCCCCCGCCCCCCCCCCCCCCCATCATGGAACAATGAATATACCAATTTTGAGCATAGAAATCCTTTTTTAAATTTTTCAATCCTGTGATTCCTGCTGTGACTTAAAAAAAAAAATCTGTTTATTTCACATTAGTCTTGCTTCTCATAAGCTTCTCATTTATCCTCATGCTGTTAAAAAATGAAGCAAAGATTTCTTTGAGAGGGTTTAGCTGAGTCCATTTCTGAGTTTCTATTAAAAATGGGATTTTAATGCCTAAATCAAATTGGGTCTTTTGACAATGTCATAATATGTCATACTTTGATTTTTTTACATTCCTTTTTTTTTTCATAATATGGCCAATAAATATTAAAAAATGGAACTTTGCAACAGATTCCTTGCTAAATGGTTCTTCTGCATTGTTTTTATCTTTTATTTTTTCATAGAGGATTGTGGGGTTGATCTCTTTCTTTAAGAAGATCTTGGACTTTAACTCATTTTCCTTCTGTCCTGTTACTTCAGGGAGGCAGGTTTTCCTTTTGGGAAAGTCAAGTACCAGGAGAACTACAGGTCCTCAGGAGACCTGCTGGGAACCATATCCATGCCAGCTTTATTCATCAGAATGTCCTCTCTTCCAGCTCTGCTTTATGGTAGAGGATCTCCAGTAAGATGTGCCTATCCCAGGCACAACTTTGTGAAGAACACCTGAGGCAGGAGGAACTGTTCACATTTTCTTTCTAAACATTCCCTGTTCACCACCCTTTTTTTCTTCTTCTCTTCCTCTCTCTGTGTTTTGTTGCTAGCTATGATAAGGTGTGCAGCTCGGTGGCTTCTTTTTGTTGTCACCCTGAATGGATGAGCAGAAGGGAAGTAGCATTTGTGTTCAGCAGATTAATTCTGATTTCTTAAGTTGCTTCCAAATGCATTTCATGAAATCATACAATTATGGAATTGTTAGGTTGGAAGAGACCTTAAACACCACCCATATCCAACCCCCCTTCCACCAGCTCAGGTTGCTCAGAGCTCCATCTAACCTGGCCTTGAGCACTTACAGGAATGGGGCATTCACAACTTCTCTAGGAAACTTTTTCCAGCCTCAAAACCATCACAGTAAAGAATTTTTTCCTATTATCTGATGTAAACCTGCCTTCTTTAATTTTGAAGCCATTCCCCCTAATTCCATTACTTCACACCCTTACAAATGGTCTATCTCCTCCTTTCTTAGAGGCAAGGCAATTTGCAAGACAGTTTAATTTTTTTTTTCTTTCCACAAAATTTATATTTGTTCTGAGTCATTTACACTTGGGTATTACAAGAGTAAAATACTTCCCTTTTAGAATCATAGAATGTATCAGGGAAGTCAAACTTTCCTGAAAGGAAATGTTCACAGAGGAGACATCACCACTGGGATCAAGAACACAAAGTATCTTTTGTGTCATTTGGCATCCTTGGCTCTTGAAATGTCTGTTAGGAAGAGAGAGAAAAATAAATATTGCTTCTATAGTATATGCTATAAGCCATTTGCCATCACTATCAGGTCAGAATTTTTTCAGGTAAAATCCCTGATCTACTTTTTTTTTTTTTACCCTGAAGATTTTATTTAAAGCCATGTCCATCTTAGTGAAAAGTGAACATTGTTTATTGTGCTGGAAGCTGCATTAAATATCTGCAGTGTATGGTCTCCCTGCACTGCATCTGCTCAAGTCATCCTCACCACGGAGGCTTGACACTCCTGCACTTTCTTGTTTGGCTGGTCAGTTAACCAGATCTAAGAGTCATGGATATTTATTATGGTTGCCAATCTAAGGCTGAATTTCACCTTTGAGAGTCATAGGAAGTTTCATTGCCCGTTTTATTTATCGCAGTGTAATACTGGAAGAGAATGGCTAAGCACTGTAATGCTCAAGATGACATTCTCAAGGAAAATTTGCTACCTTACTGGGGATAAATTATCTAGAACATTTCATTAGGAAGGCTTTTTGCAATAGTGAGAAGTTGTACATGTTCAGGACAAGCCACTGGCTCTCCAAGGTGTAAACTCCCACTTTCTTAATGGGTGAATATAAAATAATCCTTTACCATGGAGCAGGTCTGATCAAAAAATTTTAATTTTTCAACATTGAAATGTTCTGTGGGAATATAGAAATGCAGAGGCATTGTAGGGAAAAAAGCACTTTAGTTTCAGAATGGACCATTGAAACTTTTGGATTTGAAGCAATGTCTTGTGTCAAGATGTATTAGACTTTAGATTGTTAACCATCATCTATGATTTAAAAAGTCAAGATTAGACTAAAGGATTTTAGTTTTATAGAAGCAGAACATAACTCTAACACAAAATTAATTTCCCTCATAAATTTTTACTTAAGTGGATTAAAATAAATGAGACCTCTTGTTCTGACTGCATAGAAGACATTATATGAAGAGGAATGTGAACCAGAGTTGGAACTTACAGGGTCTCTCTCATCCAGCAGAGGTTGAAACTTTGCCTTCAAAAATCTCTCATTTTTGGTGCTTCCTGAAACAAAAGTTCCTTGACACTCTTGCAAAAAGTGATTATATGAGAATCATTAGTGTCTGGCTCACCAGTATGCTGTTATTGATTCCAAATCAAAACAGATCTAAAAACCCATGTTATTTGCTCCAAAATGGAAATTCCAAGCCTCAAACCAAACTTTAAAGATTCTCCTCATTGTGCTTTTCTCCAAATTTCTTTTATTGTATTCAGCCACCCATCCAAGGAATATCCCACTCTTTGGTATGTATCATTGTAAAATTTGTTTCTGTCTTTGCCATCATTAAGAATTGCAAGTGCTCCCATGGTGCCATTATTATGTATGACATCATAGAAATAGGAATTATGTGTAGAATTAAAATTAAAAGTGCAGTGGGGCTTCTTTCACTGACAACAGTGGCAGATTTTTTGTAGAGCACTTATATAATAGCAGGGTTTCTTGTATTATTCCCATCTTTTCCCATATGGAAAAAATATTATTCCCATCTTTTCCTATGTTTAACAACCTATACTGGTTGTTAAACATGGCCTCACATGTTAAAGGCCTGCTGTACTGTAAATTTCCCTTATCTACCAGTGACTGTTAATCAATCCCTGAAAAATCTATCTAGTGCCTAAAAATAAAACAAAGTACCAGGAAAAATTAGGATGCCTTATCCTTGGCTACGTTTTTTACCCCATATTTAGATGTTGAGTTATAATTTTGATGGAAGGATTCCTTCAACTCTGTTGAATTGTGTAATGTAATTCACAAGAAATTGCAATTGAGTTATCACCTGTTACTGATGACCAAAAAAAGAAAAAAAAAATTGCTCAGATCAGCTATTTGAAGTTAATGTGCCTGAAACATTATTCAAATTTCTCTGGTTGGGTTGTAGAGTGATTAGGTTCTCATGATTTGGTCACACTGATTTTTAAATTCCTCTCCCCAGTAATCTATTTACTATGGTCTGAATCCTGCACATTTTGCTCTGGGGCACTGAGGCAGAATAATATACTTTAACATATCTGAGGATAGAAGAAAATTCAGTCTTTGGGGCCATACGAAGGTGGGCTTGGGTAATATGTCCACATGGACCATGATAATCTACTCCTTGGGGGAGGAACTAATATTAATATTTAATATTGCCTTTTTTCTTATAATGGCCCTTCCTACCAAGTGTCAGATCTTGAAGGCACATGTGTCTTTTTAAGGAAAAGTGCATCCCAGAGGCACTGGCACATTCCCAGAGTCAAGGCCATTTGTTCTTCCAGTTCCATACATCTTTTCACAGGAAGCATGAATTCTTTGTGGTAGAGATGCTTGAGATGGGTTAACAACATTTTCTGGCACCATAATCTCTGTATGATGGAGTCAGAATCTGGTATTTCATTTTGCTTATCTCTGTGCAAACACAAAAATGGTTCTTGCTGTAGGGATTTTACAGTAAAAGCATTAAAAATTAAAAAAAAAAAATTATATATATCTATATATAATGGTTTAATTCAGGAACAGGAGACAGACATACTAGCAGTTACAGGACAGCTGGGACCTAGCACTTATCAGGCTCCATGGGCATCACACAAGTGAATTTTAAGACCAGGAAGATGAATGAGGAGTTGGCTTTACAGATGATAATAAGGCAATCCTTTGAGGCCCATCTTCATCCTTTCCATGTTTTGAAATGCACATCTTCCTCCTTTCTTGTCTACCCTTTATAGCCTGAGCAGAGAAGAAAGAGGGAGAGGTGCAGTCCATAAGAAGATGGAGACTTGTCTCGGGTATTGATTAGAAGTCAGTGTTGCATTTCACTGAGCTTTTGTTTGCATATGAGATTACCCAGGGATGAAAAGTGGACAGAAGAAAAAGGCCCCCAATAGGACATTGGGAGAGGATGAGGAGAGTTTACACTGTAGGAAAGATTAGACAACTCTAGGAAGAGAAGTGCAAAAGAAGAGGGGCACTGAGGCCAAAAGAGAATAGTTTCAAATGCAGTGTTGTACACTGCCTCAAAGGCAGGGAAGAGGGCAGTGAGGATGAGAAGGAGGCATTGTCCCAGCTGTCCTCAATGTATCTGAAATTGTGATGAATAATTTCATTACTCTGCCAAAAGCACAGTGGTATTTTTGATGGGATTGTAAAAAAAGTGTAATCATCAAATTCATAGATAAAAGGAGACTGCAAGCAGAAACCACAGCCTTAACACTGCCAATGGTGCAACAGTGAGAATATTTAGTGGGAAAAAAAATGGTTTATGTTGATTTATGAGCTAGATGAAGTTTTCTTTTACCAATTAAATTCTATTTCTTTTATTTCCTTGAATTTTCCCTGAGTTCAAAGTACATTTCTTTTATATTTCTTAATGTGGGTTTGTGCCTTTTTTTGTTTGTTTCTTTACCTTGACAATTTAGAAAATGCAAATAAACTATAAGCTACTGCAGCATGTAAATGAGACACATGTTTACCTGAACCTTAATTTGATAGAAAGTTTTTTACAGCTGTTTGAAAAACCAATGACACAATTACTCTTGCAGATTAGTTATTGAACTTCCACTCTGATGCAATTCTGTCTGATATCTTCTATACTCCTCCAAGTCTTAATAAAAATTGTCTTATCAGCCTTTCTCTAGATTTTCCTGAAACTACCATTGTTCAGAGTGTATTCATTCCAATTCCTCTTCCTTTGTTTAATATTATTTTTCCACTGTTCTGTTTTTTTGCATATGAGATTATCCAGAAAAGTGGACAGATGAGTATGGACACATACATTTCCCTCTCAGGATATGAGCACTGGGCTATTTTAACTGGATTTTTACTGTGATGTCTTGTGTTACATGCCTTTTTCAAGTGTCTTTATTTTAAAATTTGTCTGTGTCATATGCTTTTGGGTTGGGAATGTAGACCTAAATATTCTAAAGAGGTCTAAAGTGTTTCACTGCTGCAGGTTTTTATTGATACCCCTGGGATTGCACAACACAGGAAATAAAGTCCTGGGTTTATTTATGTATTTCACTTTTTCTAGAGATTTCTCTTGGCTCTAGGTGCAGTTGTAAAGGGATCTAGTGTCCCACAAACCTGTGTACTGCTGCTTAAGGAGGGAAACAAACCAGCCTTCCCTAACTTCACTATTGCATTGATAAATCTCTGACCCCCCCCGTCCATCAGCATTCCCCTTAGAATCCTCAGCTGCAGCTCCTTAGCATTGTCCAGGCTGCAGAACTGCACCTTAAAGTGTCTTATAACGATAATATTTAGAATTTATATATTTAAAAATGGACAAGTATCTGATTCCAGGGAGAAAACATGAAGAACATTCACCTCCTGAGTGCTTACAGTTTCACTGCAGCGGGGACCTGGCTAATAAAGTTTTTTATATTAAGGGAGTTATAATTTGCTAGCAGGATCTCGACAGTTGTCTCTAGAATAAGACAATATGCCTTTCCCCTCCCTACCAGGCCTAATTCCCTGGTAACCTTATTGAAAATGTGCATGGGCTACAAAACTAAAGATTAACTGTCCAGGGACCTGCTTCCTGGAGCTTATTTGAAGATTAAATCAAATGGCAGGCAATATATATTTGGTAATTCAGCTTTGTTTCAGACTTTTCCAATCTAGTGGCAAGTATAATAGAAGAATCTGACACTCAAAAGCACTAAATGGGTTTTTCCTTTTTTTTTTCTCTTTCTTTTTTTTTTTTTTTTTAATGTGAAAATGCCTGGTATTTCTATCCCTAGAAAAATTAGAATTAATTATTTATTTCCCCATGTCTGAAGATTCTGCTATTTTATTTTTGAACATGAAGCAAATAAATTTTAATTACAGATGATGTGAATATTTTTTCTCTTTTTGTGACATACTGCTCTTTCTTTTTATTCTATGTAACAAATACCAGCAGAAGAGTTTTAAGACAAGCAATATCTGCTGTAGCATTACAGCATTCATTTAAGCAGAAAAGGAAACACACATATTGTCTTTTAATTCAGTGTTTAGACTGTGTATTAGTTAAACAAATTTCTATTCAGCAAATTGGATTGAGATGGATGGATATGTTATGCTGTTTTAAAAAACTGTATTTAGAAGGCACATTCAAAGACACTGAAGTGTGATTTGTCCTAGCAGCAGACATCTGAAGAACAAGTGACATTCTTACACAAAATCTATATTGGTGATGTATTTAATTACAGAGTTGATTGAAATTGACAGCTCCAGTGACCTATGAGTGCACTGTTACTGACTGATGGATGCTTCAAATCTGGTTACTTTTAAACCAATTCACATACTGTTCAATAATATCCTGTCAAACTGCAAACTGCAGTTTTGCATGTATATGGACTAGGCAGAGAACATTTTAATTAAGAGAAGGTAGACATGAATGATGCTTAAAAACTGATGTAATTTTTAAAAATATGATCATCATTATTTGAATAGGAGATAAAGAACTCTCAGTGTTATTCAGAGTGGCTGCATTCCTTAAGAAACACATATTTCACTTTCATACTCACTCATATCAGCCCCAAACCTCTCAGCACAGATTAGCTCTCCAGGCTCTCCTGCACACATGCAGGCAGTTCTTCATTAGGGAGAGAGAGTCATTGAGAAAATGGTGCCTCACCTTTCTGCTGAAAGCAGAGCTGCTAAAGGAGACTCTGGAACTTCTGTAGTCAACTTCAGGGCAGAGTCCAAGTCCTGGAGCACCAAGAGATGGCTCCAGTGGCCTCTTGGCTCAGCCTTCCTGCAGCATCAGTCACAGGCTCAACCACAGCATCTTCTTTGCCCCTCCCTCTCCTTTTCTTCTACTTCTCTGCAGTTCTGGGAGGGTGGGTCATGCTTTTCTCAAGTTGTTGAATCATGTCTTGAGTCTCAGCAGACAGTCAGCTATTATTTAGAGAAACAGAGCATGTCTTCTGGAACAAGGTGTGAAGTTCTGGCTGAAGAATTCATGTTCTGATCTGAAGAAAATTGCATAAAGGATGAGATGGAAAAGACCTCTGGGCTCATCTCTGAGCCAGCCTATGACCCAACACCACCATGCCAACCAAACCACATCCAGGAGCCTTAATTTTGCTTCTGTTTTCAATCATGTACACCTGAGATGTTAAAAAATCAAATAGCCTCCTATCCCCATTTAGTTAATTTGTACCTATATCATAGAATCCTATCCTGGCAGTAATGGTCACCATAAAAAAACCCAAAAAACCCCCCCAAAAACAACTTTCCATCTTCCAGGCTTTGTCAAAGTGATCAATATCTTCCTTACTGCCAAATTATACTGTGGTAGCTGTATACATGATTGAAAACAGAAGCAAAATTAAGGCTCCAGGAGGTAGTCTGGTTCACATGGTGCTGTTGGGTCACAAGTTGGCTCAGAGGTGATCCCAGAGGTCTTTTCCAGCCCCACTGATTCTGTGGGAAATATGCCAGCTCACCTATCCTATGGCATTACTTCTCCGTGGAGCAAATGGAGGACTACCTGAACAATCATATTTCTACTGATCATAGATGCATTTTCTGAAAGAGCAGTAAAGGTCGGAAAGCCCATGTGAAACAAATATGATCTGGGTGCAAAGTATCAGGCTGAGAAAAGAATTTTCAGTGGAGATTAAGCTCCTTAAAAAATCCATAGGCTTTCTGTCTTTGAAGGTGCTTTCTTAGTGTAGCTAAAGTTATTACCTTTGTACATAAGCAATAAAAAAATCAGAATTCCCATAGCCAAAATCTACATTTAAAGAGTGAAATGCTTCCAATATTAAAAAAAAAAAAATCCAGTCTACTGTAATTTTTTGTACAACTTTTGCATGTAGTACCTTATTTTTAGTGTAGTAACATTTGTTTAAAATAAGTTTAAAATATTCTTTGTCCTTTTTAACTTTTTTATTTGTTTCCAACAGTTTTGTATTTTAATCAGATAAGTAGAAGTAATAGATTTCACACTACACGCTGGAAAACATCTTTACACTCTCTGAGATGGGGTAAGTAACAGAATATAGAAATATTAAAATTCTTACAGTTATCCAGAATTTTACCAGTACAAGGAGACTTACTTTGTTGTCAACAAGGATTGTGAAAATATCCTTTGAATGGAAAAAAAAATAAAGCAAATAAGAGTATTGAGCATTAGAATGAGTTCAGGAGGCGACAGTGCTGCAGTACTTTCACATCTTGTATCAGTTATAGCTGATATGTAATTCATGATAGAATGGAGCTTGCTATAGATCAACCAAAGGATTTATCCCATTTCTCTGTGGCCTGCATTGAGCTCTAAATTGTCACTGGGGATCATTTAAATTAGGAGTTAATCTTTACATGCCTTGATTCATGGTTCATGCACACCTAAAAGCTGCAGGATAACTTGAATCTAAGCATGTTTTTTCTGTTTCTTCATTGTGTTGAGAGCTAGAATCCCAGATTAGCTTGACCTCATGGTTCAGTTTTATGCAGTTCAGTGTTTTAATTGTGGCTTGACCTCATTGGTTCAGTTTTATGCAGCTCCCCTTGCAATGAAGGCTACAAAATGTTTCTATTTATGTCCATGCATGAGCGGCCTGAGAGGAACATCTTAGATGGAACATCTATGCCTGTAATTGCTTAACAATTGCTGTGTAGTATAAGACACCTGTTCTGCTGTCTGCAACTTTTCCAGACTCCAGAAATGTTTGGCTGAAATATTCTGGGTCGAATATCTGCCTCAGGCTGAATGGGATAAAAGAGTTCAACTGTTTCTAAGAACAAGATTAAGAAAATAAGCCTTGTTTTCTCGTTTTTAAAACCACTGTTAGAGCGGGTTTGAGGTAAAACCTTGCTAATGTCTGTGTTTTAATGACAGCAGGAACTGGGCAGTGAGATCTCTGAGCCGACAAGGAAAGTTAGAATTCAAAGCACAGATATTGCTCTGTTCTCGCCTTGCTTCTTTCAGTCTGAATTCAGTCTGTCAAGCACTCAGACCTCCTGTCCTTTCTCAATGTTCCCACATTTAGGTATTTCAAACTCCTAGCAAAAGCTTTACCTGAACTAATTTTTGCATTTATCTTTTCTCACCAATCTAGCAAAGATGAGTTAAGGCAATTCTAGCTGCAATAGTCAAATATTAAGCTAACTCTCGATTTTTTTCTCATCAGCTTGTTCACTTGGCTGTAAGTGCAGCATTAGAATAATCTCTCCACATCAGGAAAAGAAACATAATGACGTTAGTATTACACAAAATTTGAACTGAATAGCAGACTCAATGCAATTTTAGTAGTTTTTCTCTTCATTTTCAACTTTTCTATTTTCCTCTCCAGGATTTCTGGATAGACATTCCAAGACTATCAATATGAATAGGATGTAACAACAGCCATCTGCAGGTCAGATAAACCCATCCATCAGCACATCAGCAAGTGGACCTAAAATATTTATAGAATTGTTATTCATGAGAGAAAGAAAACCTTAATTGGTGATTAACATAAGAAGGTAATAATGAACTCAAATCTGTGTAGCGCAGTTTTGTTATTACTCATTTTTTGCAGGCAAGATAAGAAAACAAAATGAAGAAATTAGTTTTCATTTGCCAGAAGAGCTATTTTGTGTAGATTACTGATGAAATGTATTTTGAAATCTGATGCATCTGTACATATCAAGATTCATTTCTCTGATCTAGTGAAATATCACAGATACTTCCCAAAAAGGGAGCTTTATAACAAACAGTAAAATCTCTATCAATCACTGTGTATTCATAATAACTCATAGCCCTGATACTTAATTACAGCTAAATATAATTTCTAACTTGAAACATTTTCAGCATAGCACTCAGCATATTCCTAACTTAAAATGAAGTTTTTTTGTATTAAGAGTTCAAATATTTAATGGATTTGAGTCTGTCATGAAGTTATCTATATAGTCAGCAATTACTGTATGTAAAAGTGTGAAAATAAGTTTGATTTCTGCAAAACAAGCAACTCTCTTGGAAAAAAAAGGTAGTGCTCCTTTAAACACTCTTTTTCAGAGAAAGAAAAGCTGAAGTGCCATAAAAAATTGTATCCATTGCTTGTCCTCTCCTAGTTTAATTTCATTTTAACTTAAATAAACATTCCTTTACATTTAGCAACATTGGAAAAGGCTGTTCTTACTCATTTTGCATTATTAAAACTACATTAGCAATATAGATGTATTAATTTACAGATTCAGCTACTAATTGCTTAAATATTGAGTTCAAAACTAGACACTAGTACTGGGAAGGGATAATTGGTTCTTGCTGTAGAAAAAAACTATAATAAAGAACTTGAAAGTGCTGTCACATTTCACATAACAAGCAAAATCTCAGAATATTTGAAAAATATTCTGAAAGAAAATGTCTTGGGGCTTTCTTAATGAGAATGAATGTGGTTTGAAAAGATCAAATAATATTCACATATGTCAAATACAGGTTCTAATAACAGTTAGAGATAATGAATAAAATTAAAGTAGGTCATTTTTAGTCACTTAGGATCCAATAGGAGGCATACCTCTTCCTAACTGCTTGTTAAAATATAATTAGAAGCATTTGCTCTATTTACCAAAAAAACTCTATATCAAAGATTTTAAAAATTAAAATGGGATATTTTACCATTTTTTAATTTTCTGGTTTTGTTTTATTAGCATTTGTGTAGTAAATGGCATATAAATATGTTAATATTGTAATAACTGGCATAATGCATTCATAACTATAAGTAATATGGCAGCTATAAATATTCTGATAGGAGAGATGGGGTTTTTCCTCTCATCCTGAATGTGACGGCTGTAGCAGCCCACAGTTATCTACAAATATATGGAACTGAACGCACAGAACTTGGAAAGAAAGAAAAGTCCAAATTACAGCATTGTTTGAACACCAAATATTGAATTTTGTATTGAAAAAATACAGAAATTCTTAAGAGGGAAAAAATAGACTCTGATATTGTCTCCTTTGAGTCTCAGTTGTCTCAGTTCAGGTGAATTCAACACATGGTCAGCACATTTCAGCACTGGTTGTGCACTGGTCATTTGTCCATAGTAGCGATGCGGGGGAAGCCAAAGGCTTTTCAGACTGCTTGTTTTAGATGTCAGACTGGATCCAGCTGGCTCCAAGTGGATCCAACCAATTCAAACTAGATCAGAGCAGATCCAGTTTCATGCCCTGTGATCAAAGATGTCTCAGCTCTTCCAAAAATAAGCCTTCTCTGTGTGTTAGGCTTCTACTGAGGGAGTTATGTACAAAATGGCCTCTAGGGTGATAATATTTTTTCATTTTATAATCTGTAGACAAACTGATGAGGAGATATTTTTACCAATGCACAGATCATTTCATTTTGCACTAACCATCTCTGGTCTGTATAGCTAAACACTAATTTCAAAGTCGGCACTTTTATTTATTTACTCTCTCACCAGCAGCATGAGCTGCTCTTAAAATCAAGTCCTCTTAATGACACAGAACCTTTTATACCCTTCTTTTGCTAACGTATTCTTCAAGGGAGGACTTGCATGTTTGAAGATTACTCTCAGACATAATGAAGAAACGTCAGAAAGCCTGCTGGCCTAGAAAAGAGCCATTCACATCCACTCATTTATGCATATCCCACTCACGTGCTGGTAGTGTTTTGTGACATATATTTCTATCCCCTTATCCCTGAAGTTATCAGGCACCATATGTAAGGCAGGCATTAAAGCAGGAACATCACCCGTGACACCTAGTTAGCTGGTTAGAGACAAAGTCATTTCTTCTTATCTCAGCAGGAAGCCACACTACTTTGAGCCCAAAGCTT